ATAATGTTTTAGTCTAGGAAAAAACAGTCAAAAAATTAATCGTAGAAGAAGATTTAAAAAAAAATCGCTGATTAATATTTGACAGAAAGTAGAGTTTAAAACTTATTCTTAAATTACAAGGTTACATGAATACATCGATTTGACGTATATAGCGTCATGTGGTAAATTTTTAGTTAACTGTGGTGAAATACAAGATAAACGTTTGAAATATTTTCTACTAAAAATCAGCACAATATTATCTCATGTCACTAAATACATTCCGATTTTTCGCTGTGTATTGTATACTTTTCGAATTTTAACGCATATTAATATAAATAATAATATTTTATGATGTGTTTATTTATTCATTCCAATTGTTTTTTCGTCTTCATTTGAATATTGTTTTTTTTTTTACTATAGTCAGTCACCTGAGTTGTCAACATGTGATATATGTCCCCACCATAGAAAAATTTCAAACAATTATGTTACTGTTTACCTAGGGACAGCCACTTTGTCATTCACCTTTCAGTTGATTGTCCAATGCCACCACAATCGGTAAAAAAAGGAATGATACGAAAAAAACAAAAGATGCGCGGTAATACGCTGTGTCGTGAATAAATGGTTGACAGAAAATCTACAGCAGAAGATAAATAAAGCTGTCGGTTTTTTTCCTTATGGTTTTGCAAAATATGTCGCATATAATTTATTTTGTGTGGTATAAACTCATAGCTCAGACGCATCATATTATTTTACAATTTTTGTATATATTTTTTGTGACGACATTGTGATTTTTCATTCAAATGGGATGAAGAAAAATACGCAATGACGCTAACGTCACTGTAGACGACGACGACGACGACGACGACGACGACGACGACGACGACAATGGCAAAGCGATTTGACGAATATTCGATTTGAGTCGAAACCAAAATACTTTATGTTTTCCATTTTTTGTTTCTTCGTAACATAAAACATGAAAAATCGAATGAGAAAATGTGAATTATTCAACATGAATAGCTTGGTAAGTTAGAAAGAAAAAATATGCCGGCTCAACAAGATTTGCTTATTTGTTTTTAAACACAAGTGTGTTTAAGCAAAAAAAAAGGTAAAATGTTGCATATTTTTGGATCAACCCACAAAAATTCTTTCGAAATATGTCTGGTGACCAAACAAATTCATTGACGCAAGAAGAGAGAGCACATAATTGAAAAGAACAACTGCCTGAAACCATATATTCATTCATTATAGTATGCAAATGTTATTTAAAAACGATCGAATACACAAGGATATATCTTTGGCATATTGATTGAAATCATTTACCATTTGCAATGCTATGATTTTGCGTTTAATGTACTCACCAAAATATTCAGCTCATTAAGTTGTGAACATGATTGAAGTAGCAAAGTTTGTGACGGAAATACCATGAAAATAGTATGTTCAAACCTGTGTATTTAAAAATATATTTTCGTTCGAAAATTATGGAAATCTTTTATAGAAAACGCCACAAGCAATGCATTTAGCGGAAGTGCAACAACAAAATAGCAAAATAAACTAGACTTCATCAAAGCACTTAATTAATTAAAAACAGTATGTATATGGCATACACATAGCACAATATCATTGCACAATGCTCATTTGATAGTTCACATAATTTAAATAATTCAAAATATGTATAACGTTCTCTCGGAATCGAAACGGAGGGTAGATGTTGACTGAAGGTTTCACTTTGCATCATCTAATTAAATATTATCATATTCGAATCGAGCTTCATTAGTCAACATTTCGAGTCATTTTCTGTTAGGATTTATACTATTAGTTTTTCAGATGCTATTAATTGTGCATCAAATGATGAAAATTGTTATTATTAAAAGTTTATCGTTTCCTATTTAGAGTTAATTTGAAAGAGACGTACAAAAAAGCTGCAGCAATGAATCGAGTTTCTTTTCATCTAGACTTACCTTAATTATAGTTCAATGTCAAAATGGTTCTCCTTTTTTGAAAAGGCATTTTTAATTATAATGCAGAAATTCTAAAGAAAATGCTATGAAAAAACAGCCTTAGATAAATAAAGCCGTATTTATTTATAATTACGTAGGCTGCTCCATATATTTCTAGAAAAGCATATACAACGCAATCGTTTTTGATCAAAAATGGCTTTATTGTTTTTCAAAGTATTCGCCATGATGGTCGATACACTTTTGCATACGCTTGAACCAATCGTCATAGCATTTATGCCATTCCGCGTGAGATCAACTGCTTCTTCTGGTGTTGAAAATCGTTGACCACGTAGTTTATTCTTCACGCTCGGGAACAAAAAGTAATCGTTGGGTGCCAAATCAGGACTTTATGGCGGATGACCCATTAATTCGATGTTTTGAGTGGTCAAATATTGAGTGGTTTGATGAGATGTGTGAGAGCTCGCATTGTCATGATGAAGAATTATTTTGCGACGACGGTCGTTTTTTCTTATTTCACCAAACACTTCGGGCAAACAAATGGTGGTGTACCAATCAGAATTGACGGTCTTACGATCCTCTAGAGGAACTGTTGCCACATGACCACTTCTATCAAAAAAACAGGCGACCATTTGCTTCGCAACACTTCGAGCGCGAACAACTTTCGTTGGATTATCTTCACTTTGGAAGACCCATACTGTCGACTGCTGTTTAGTTTCGGGCTCATACGCATATATCCACGATTCGTCGCCTGTGACGATGTTATAGATGGAATATGATGCACTTCGGTTATATTTGTTGAGCATTTCTTTGCACCAATTCACACGAGCTAATTTTTGGTCATCGGTCAATTTATGTGGAATCCAACGAGAGCAAATCTTTTTTACGGACAAATGTTCATGCAAAATCGTGTGTATGCTTCTCATACTAATGCCCAAGGATGTCTCAATCTCACGGTATGTGACATGACGATCTTGCTTTATCATGTTTCTGACAGCATCGATAGTTTCTGGAACAACAACCGATTTTGGACGACCTTCACGGAATTCGTCGATGAGCGAATGACGACCACGATTGAATTCAGTAAACCAGTGATATACAGTGGCCTTGCATGGAGCTTCATCGCCAAAGACCAAATGAAGTTGATCAAAACACTGTTGTTGAGATACACCCAATCCAAAGTCGTAGTAAATTATCGCACGAAAATTTTCACGAGTAAAATTCATTTTTTTGTTGAGACGCAATTTAGATGTCACTGTAAACAATACAAATAGCGCGCGTATGACAGAACGTTCTGAGATCGTTTATGCTACAAAATGTCAAACTTAACGAATATGACAATGGTTTGCATCTAGCAACGTCAGTATTGCCAATTCTAGAAATATATGGAGCAGCCCTCGTAAACTAAAAAAAACACACTTTCTTTGATATTTAGTACCTTTTTCAGTAGTGACGACATTTTATTCATTAAAAATGCAATCCAAACCAGATTTCATCATGAAAATAAAGGTAATGATTATTGAAATGATATATCGCCCATTAAGTAGCGATTATTTATTGTTTTGACAATATCATTTTCATATTAGTGGATCAATTCTAGACTCTGTTTACGGAGCAAATTATATGCTAAAAAAATTATTCACCTTATTAAAAGTAGCTCCATTGATAAAATACAAAGGATCTTTAGCAACAGTAAAAAAAAATGGCTGAAATGAAAATTTTGCGGGCTTTGAAAAGTTTTTTTTCTAGCGATAATTTTAAAGAATATTTTTCTTTCTGCTTCTTTTACATGGGTCAATTATTTGTTATTTTCTTTTATATGACCGCACAATCTAATGATTGCTACTTAATGAATGTTACCTAAAATTTTGATGTCAATCGAATTATTACGTTTTATTATATCAAAGCGCATAATCTATGTTTCATTTTTCAAAATACGTTTTTTTATTTACATTTGGACATAGACACACACTGTTGCTGCGTAAGATGTTGTGTGTAAGTTATAAAGGGAATGAAAATTATTGAGAGTGAATGTATTTCGGTCATCACTTTCAGTTTTGTGTTGACGATTTTTACTGCGCAGATGTGTTTCAATAGAATGTTTTTTTAAACGTAGGGTGGTTTTTGGAAAATACAGAATGAGATTCTGGCTATAGTTATATGTTATGGAAAAATATATAAGATTCACGAATATGACGTTTTTTGACATAATTGAAGTCACAAGTCTAGCGTCACAAGTCTAGCGTTTCTGCAAAAAAAAAATCGATTTTTTCAAAATTTTCAAATGTCCTATTCATCTGGTGTGACCGAACGTAAAAATTTGCTATTTCTGTCACCCAAATCGTTGTTCAATACATGTAATTTATCAATGCATGGCATTGTGTTTGCAAACAACATTCTATTGAAACAAAACAGCGCAATAAAAATCTTCAACACAAAACTGAAAGCGATGACCAAAATACATTCACTCTCAATAATTTTCATTGAGCAACATTGTGTGTTTAAACAAAAAACGGATTCCTAAAAATGAAACATAGATAGATTATGCGCTTTGATATAATAATAATAATGACTGTACGGTGCTTAAATTTCTCTCTGAATTTGTATAATTCAAATTATTTTAATTTTTAAACAAATATTAAAACTAATTTATAATTATTCCCTATTTTGTTTCAGATAATTCACAATTCTATTTTTGACTGTAATTATTTCAACATCTAAATCAATTAATTTAATATCGCTATCTTTTAATTGAGTATGGAGACGAAATTGATGATTCACCAGTCAATCTTCAGACCAACTATCCTTTACGGAAGCGAGAGCTGGGTCGATGATTTCTGGAGTATCGCGTAGAGATCAATGGGAAAATCGCATTAGAAACGAAAGAATCGACGACGTCACAAAGAGGTCGAGATTGAGATGGTTTGGACATGTACAACGTATGGGTGAGTCGCGTTTGCCGAAGAAGATCTTGTTTGGTGAAGCTGATGGACCGAGAAACAGAGGAAGACTCCGTAGACGTTATTTGGATTCAGTGAAATGTGATTTGGATGTTAGAGGGTATGATTGGAATAGAGAAACTCAAGACCTGGCTCTCAATAAGGAAGTTTGGAGAGGAATTGTTAGAGGAATTCAAGTCTAGTTATTTCGTAAAAAGACCACACACCGAAAGGTATAATCGGTCTATAAATGATTGTTGTTGTTGTTGTATCTTTTACTGTTTTGAAATAGAAATCATTGAAAGTATTAAGCATATAATTCGTTCATTTTTCCTTATTGGCGCGTGCTGTGTTGTGGTTCATTATATATTCCAAGCAACTGTCAACGTGTTTTGATGTTAAGTCTCCATTGATTATGTTAAATATGAACGATATTTGTGCAAAAATAAAGCGTAATAATACGATTGACATCAAAATTTTAGGTAATATTTATGGAGTAGCAAACATCTATGCTGTATTTTTTAGAATTCACTTTTTCGGCGTTCATATTTCAGAGTACGAATCTGTATTGCCACTTCTATTCCCATGGACATGTGTGTGTGTGTATATTCGTCCTTCGACTTCGATATCGTGATTATCCATACAGAATTTAAATAGCTACACGAAATTTGTGAAACAAATCCCAAATTATTTACAGAAACCGAAATAATAGAAATGAAATTGAAAAAAAGTAGAAAATATAAACTAAACTAAAGTTAATCCATACGGTATATTTTAGTAGCGATACAGAGTAACATTTGTAAATAAATTGAGTTGTATTTACATTATTTCCTCGAATCGATCTTACAAAAACTTCATTTAAATACTAATTGATGTTGTCGTCGTCATCGAAAAACCAACAAATGTTACACGAATTTTTCTTTCGACTTTAATCAATAATAGGATATATAATGGTTCGATTGGGAACGCTATTTGGTTTTTCTTTTTTTTTCACAAAATACTGATTACTAAAGTGAATGAAATCTGCAGTAAGAGTTAGAAATGTTCGTTTAACATGTTCAGACACTGATCCAGAAATTGTGTCTTACAAATTTATCTTCACATTGAAGTAAGGTTTCAAAACACAGTCTTCAACCCATTCCAAAGTTTGTGTAGATTTATAAGCTCTCAATAATTTACCCATTAAAATCAATTTTGAAATTTTTTCGTGTTTTCCTCATGTCCGTTATGTATTATTTGAGTGACGGAATGTGAATTGTAATGATGTAATTCGACTTGTGAAAATTAGGTGAGCTCCCAACTCGATCGACGGTCATTGGCTACCAATTATAAATTTCAAAATTTGTGTCTGCCTTAGAATTTTAGATGGACAACAGTGTATATGTGTTTTATAAGCTTCAAATTTAATTTAACATTTTATGGGGAATTATATTCACAGTTGTTTCATACCAATTTTGATGCGGTAAATTACGAAAACATCTACACAAAATAGGTTTAGTTTCATTATGCTGTAGTCTATACGGTGTGTGCTGTGTTGTACATCAGTTATCTTCCGTGTGCACGTAAATAGAACCAAATAACATTCAATAAAATCAACGAGAATGTCTGTACTGTTAAAACCGACAACGAATCCAGTTTCGTAGCACCGTTATTACCATGATGCAATTCCGCAAAGCTTTCTCCTGAAACGAATGTAAACACTCTTGTATAAATTCTAGAAATATCTATATAACTTAAATTGATATGTCACTTTTAAGTTGATTTTGCTACATTTTCTACAATATATTCAAATGAAAGTTTCAAAAATATATTAAGTGAACAAAATTTCAAAAAGAGTAAACGGTAGATTTCCATTTGGAGACTTGCAGATTTTGCTCTACAGCCCAGAGTAGTTGTATAAGCATTCGCTGATTCCAAAACAGCCATTTTTGGATGGGCCTATTACCTCATATAGGGTGGCTGTTTTGGAATCAGCTCATGGTTATACAACTACTCTGGGCTGCAGGCTTTGATACTTAAATTTTTTTGAAAAAGTCATCCACCCTATTGCAGATATTACAATCTCTCAGTTATCAACGCATCACATTCGCATCGATTATTTTATTATATACAACAATAGCAAACATGCGTACACAATAATAATTTCATGGATTATTGAATGTAAAACTTCCGAAGCGAAACAACAAAACTTCCTATTGCTTCTTTTCATTTCATTTTGCATCATAGCAGTCTATGTATTTCGGATGGATATCCATCCGAGATATTCAACGCAACTGCACAGCGCCAGAGCAAATAGAATCTACGGTAGGTCGCTACGTATATGTGTATCAAGTGCCGCACGTACACAGTCACACTGTGCCTGTATTTTTCGTGTAGCGACATACCGTAGATTATATCTATTGAATATATCGAGAAGAGAGTATGTTATTCAGCGCTTATCGCTGAGTAATGTCTGAATAAAAATATACTCTCCTCTCGATATTTTCAATAGATATGTGTGATGCACACAGCTCTGGCTCTGTGCAGTTGCGTTAAATATCCAGATATTCTAAAATATCTCGGATGGATATCCATCCGAAATACATAGACTGCATCATAGTAAGTGTCATCATCTTGTTCTTTTTTTTACATTCCATTCAAAACTTGTAATATAAATAGAACAATTTAAGGCTTAACTCAACTACGACAATACCACCAGAAGTACAGTGAAAATAATGCGAAATTTCATTTCGTTTGAATTTCATTTGTAAAACTTTTAATTTGAAAAATATTTCATATTATTACAATCAGAATTTTTGCAAAAACAAATTTTGCAAATGGATAGCGATTTTCGTTTGATTTAACTAAAGTATATTATAATTTATAGCCGATTGAAATTTGTAGTAGTGCAATAACAGATCTTTTTTTTTCATTTCCGCTCGCCTTTTCTTCATTTGGTATTAGAAAAAGTGGCGATTCAATTTTGTCGTGTACATACTGATACAAATGGAAAATTGGAATGTGTTTATCTTCTACATGTAATTTTTTCTGAAACTTTGGGTCTTAAAAGTGCTTTTTTTACATGGAATTTTCCAATTTGAAATAGACTTTTTTATTGATTGCCGTGAAGCTTGCAAAGTTAAATGAGTTGAGAATCACATCAGCTTATGCATTAGTAGAAAAAAATGAATAAAAACCTGCACTCATTTAACAAATTGATAAATGACATTTTATCTTAATGCATTTCAACTGCCAAAAATACTCAGCGCATAAAACATACAGTAATGTTCTAATTTCTAGGAGATGAGAAAAAGCAAACAAACAAATCTACAATCTATTTGCGGATCGCTTTTTCATCTCTGTGTTTTGAGTTATTGCATCACATTTCAATTCTCTTGGACTATTTCACTCCTACACGCACACGCCAATTGAAATTCGGCATTTTTTTTCAACTCCATGTCGCAATTTCAAAGCTTTGCAAAAACTGTGCGGAACGAAAAAAAGTGAATCGCAATTCTTTTTGGTCTGTAACCTACAAACCAGCGATTGCCAAAATATCATTAAATTTATTATATTCATTGACATTTTGAGTATTAAGTGTTGCAAGCAAGTAAAAAGGGATAGGCCAAGGTATCAGAAAATTTAAAAATCTTTGTAGATTTAAATGCGAACAAAATAGAATGAGCAATGCTACTTGAATTAGAATGGAAAAAAACCGTACATTGATTTAGCTCTGGGACTCGTTTGTTGCATATGGATGAATCAATGCGAAGAAATGTTGACTTTAGACAACATTAAAAGAGGAAAAAATTCACTATTCCTAACCGAAACAAGGACACCGAATCGTTATCGCAATGGGTTCGGGTTATTTTTTGAATAGTAGCCAAATTCACTGCTTTTTGAATGACACAGAGACATGCTGGCGTCAAAGCAGCATCACAGCTGAATTTATTATGTGTCTTTATATGTTTCATAGATTCTCTTGGTGAGTTTTATTTTTGCCAATTGATGTTTCCATAACCATATTGGTTCCACATTGGTTTTGTGGGCGGGTACTGATTCATGTTCTGGCAAATACAAACAAATTCATGAAATCAGGTATTACATGGTTTGTCAACAACAAGAATTCTACAGAGTGTTTTTCTATCCAATGGCAATTCAAAGAAAATAGCATACACAATAATTTCACATCTTTGTCCAGTTTTGTATGGCGAAAAAAAAGATTGGTAAAAACATACATCGGGAAAATGAGAGCATCGTTGAAAATTCGATCACGATTCAAACAGTAAAAAGCATCGAAATAAAAAAGAAAAAAACAGACAATCCTTGAAATCAGGCGAAAAAAACCAACTTGTTATTGAATGGACATAATCAAGAAAGTGTAGAGAATGGTAAAACAGGCTTTTCCACATTCACATTACGTTGTCTTTGTGTTGAATGCTTTGAGTATTTTTATGGTTGATCGTTACCATTGACGACAATCACTCAATTCAATTGATTTGTTCTATTTTCTATTTGTATTTCTTGTTCCCATAGTCCATCGATTGCGGCTGATTCTATGGTTGCTGTTTCATTTTTTGTGCTCGCATAAAATTGACTGACTGATTGCAGATTTTGATTTTTTTTTTTTTATTGTTTGACACACGTTTTGTCACCGAATATATGTGCATATAGATACCGACTACCGACGATCTCCCCAACGGAATAAAAAGTACACCGCTTCATCGAACAAAGCCAAATTCAATTCGATTTCCCCTGTCTGTGTGCCAATTTAAGTCGAGCTCGTTTACTCATCCTTTTTCGGACTACTGTTTATTTTGTATATCGAATAGATTTATGCCTGTCATTTTTCCACGGCTGCTAGTTTTTTGTTTAAGTGTTTTTGTTATTGTCTTGGTAAAACGAAATCGCACGTGAAATATTTGATCGCTTGGTTTTATTTAGTTCGGGTATTGTTGCTGTATTGGCAAAAAGGATTTGTGATCTATGTGAACAGTGAAAAATGTATATCGATTCAAATTTGATCCGAAGATATATTGAAATGGAGTTTGTCACTTGATACATTTGAATTCTTGTCATTTTCACGTATACATCTCGCATAACGCTTTCACTCACTCATTCGTCATCACTCATTCTCCGTGACGCACTCTCATTTTACGCTTAGTTCAACTTGACAAATCAAATGACTTCCAAAATGAGCCACATCATAAATTTGTGTGAACACTTTTTACAGTCTTTCGGTTTAGTGACAAAATTTGAGGAATTGAAATCGATAATTTACTGACTGAAGTTCAAATGAAAGAAAAAAAAAATAAAAAGAAGAGTGGTAGGTTAGAGGGATGAGTTTTTGTCATTTCTTTGATATACCATTCTTTTGTTTTGTTTCTAGTAACGGAATTAATCAAATGAGTGTGCAACATAGTAAATCATTCTGTAATAATATTCGACATCTTAATCCAAATTAAGTTATACAATGTTCCTTTTGGCTTCTTTATAACAAATCAAAAAATATAAACATAAAATACATTCCAAATGGAAGAAAATACCCCTCAATTGCGGCCCGATTCAGTTAATTCTTTTGCCTATATCATGTAAAGGTTCCAACATTACGCCACATTCGATAAATAGATGGTATAGAATTTACTCTTGATATTTATATCGGATATATGTTTGCGACAGACTTTGAAAAGCGTGCAGAGAAGAAATCAAAAGAGCCCGCAAAGAATCGAGAGCTGTATTTTTGAATATTTTTCTTTGTAATCGCAATTGTAAACACAATCTGTTCTTACTTTTCTTCTTTATATCTATTGTTTCACTTAGTACTGGCGTCTACTTTGTATTATTTGTCTCTCCTTTCGCAACATATCCATTTGACGATACATAACACATGTATAGAAAGTCTTGGGACTGAATTCAGACGTTTATTTATGGGCTATCGAATCGCACATTTATTTATCTTTTTATTCGATTTCTCTTTGTATCGAACCTTCAAAATCATGAATCATGATCTGGACAATTTTTCGATTTCTTTCAATTTTCTCTCAATCCATCCAACCATATGATGAATTTTTAACAGCCAATTTTTTACACCCTTTAGAATTTTTTCGTAACTTATTCTGCTGATTACTAATGATCGTGTCTAAATCTATTGTTTTGGTTCAACTTTGGATGTGCTGTAACCATACATTTATATTAAATCAATGAAGCACGATACATGGTTCGAAGACAGATTGGTTCATCTTTAGACATATGCAACTTAGATGTACCATTTGAGACACTTTTTCGTAAATCCAATTTGTGCGTCATCGCGAATGGAAATTTTTGTGTAGCGCAATAAACTCCTGAATTTAGTCCCAAGACTTTCTATACATATGTTGAAATCATAAACATACAATCTACAATCAATAGGGACAACATTTCTGAATAAAACCCAATATGTCGAATTCATTTCTTTTGATAATAAATTCATTGAAAAAGGCCGACTTTTTATTTGGCTGCGACACGATTCGAATAAATACAAAAAGATAGCCCCGTAGAAGAAAAATTTTTTAATTCCGCCATTAAAGCGTTCGTTGAATAAAACATTTTGTGAAAGCAAACTTGTTAATACATACTTTCGTTAATTCAATGTCTAATAAAACGAATGATTTAGAAGTGTTTAGTGAGTCACTGACTCTTGGCTGATACCCAAATCATTATTTGC